CTCCCAGAATTCCTCAGCCAGCAAAGCTGGCTGAGGAATTCTGGGAGTTGAAGTCCACAAGTCTTAAAGTTGCCAAGGTTGGACACCCCTGGCTTAGATTAACCAGAATTTAGAAACTTATTTCTTTTGGAAGACATTTATTTAATTTATTTAGTCTCCTACAACTTGTTTGGATGAGATCCATGACACATTACTCTGTAAGACACATGTTACTACAGGTAGCTTCAACTTATGCCTGATTGTTTAATGACCATTCAAAATCACAGGGCTCAGAACAGATGGTTTATAGCCCATAAAGCACTTTTGTTCATCCTAAAAAATGTCATACCACATCATTACCCCCTATGGTCACATGACATTTTGGATGCTTGGTAACTGGCTCTCCTTTATGACCAGTTGTCCCATGACCACAATTTGTAAAGTTTTTTTTTGCTGGTTTCTGGTTAAACCACCCCACCCATTTGAAAGAATGGGTTCACGCTTATGATTGTGCCATTCACTTAATGACTGCTGAAAAATGGTCATAAAACCAGAAACTGATCACATGGGTGCCTCAACTTATAGTCATAATAACTGGTCCCAACTGTGGTTGTTTGTGGAAGATTACCTGTTTATTAAAGCAACCATCCTGGATTCTTTCCTATATAGCATGGGTGTCAAACTTGCAGCGTCATGTTGCCATCACGTGATGTTTCACAGTATTTTTCCCCCTTCCCAAAGCTGGGATGGGCGTGGCCTGCACATGATGCAATCCGGCTTGCGGCCTGCCAGTTTGACACCCCTGCTATATAGTAATCCCAACTTTCCAATTGGAGAAGATAACAACTTTCGCAGCTTATTATCTAAAAATCAAACCGTTTCACCTAACGTTTTTGCATGAAAAAGATAAACCTCAGCCATTATACTCCTAATGGTGACATATTACAATTACTTTTTATGTAGATCAGCTCTTCGTTCCCTTTCGGGCTTTCTCCAGCATTCGTAGAAGCCGTCATCCAAATAACATAGGAACCACCAGCCTCTATGTTTTTTATATAAAAGGGCTGTGGGGCTGGTTTAGAGATCTCTGGAAAAATTAAAAGGTGAAAGCATAATTGTTTCATAGCATAAGCTCTTATCAAATCAAGCTGTATATCTTTGCCTTTCGGATTTAAGGCAGCGTCCATTTCTTTGGGCACACAGGAATGCATCCAGTTTTGGTCACCACACTATAAAAAGATGTTGAGGCTCTAGAAAAAGTGCAGAGAAGAACAACCAAGATGTTTAGGGAACTGGAGGCTAAAACATAAAATGAACGGTTGCAAGTGCTCGGCATGGCTAGTCTAGTGAAGAGAAGGACCAGGGGAGACATGGTAGCAGGGTTCCCATATTTGAGGGGCTGCCACAGAGAGGAAGGGGTCAAACTATTTTCTAAAGCTCCTGTAGGCCAGACAAGGAATAATGGATGGAAACTGAAGAAGGAGAGATTTAACCTGGAAATAAGGAGAAACTTTCTGACAGTGAGAACAATCAACCAATGGAACAGCTTGCCCTCGGAAGTTGTGGGAGCGCCATCACTTGAGACTTTCAAGAAGAGATTGGACTCCCATCTGTCAGAAATGGTGTAGGGTCTCCTGCTTGGGCAGGGGGTTGGACTAGATGACCTACAAGGTCCCTTCCAATCCTGATTATCTGTTATCTGTTATCTGAATACCTTTAATTACTGACTGAAAGCTATTGATAGAAGAGAATATTTATAGCTCAGGGTTGAACTGGTGCCCTCTGAGCTTGGTAGGCTTTCTTGTAGGCGTTGCATTACCCAACGAGGTAACATCAGCAGTGCTGGAAGGAACTGGACTTTGCTCTCTTTTTCTACCAGTAGCTTGCCATGTCAGTGTTGGTAGGAGCGGTCTTGGTTGTTCCTTGATTAGGCCAGTGTTTACTGTTAGTTTATTTGTGTTGCTACTTTATTGACTGAAAGTTGCCCACCCCTCATGTTTAGTACTCTACGCATTTTGCACTTTAAGAGTTAAAGTTATTAATTTTTATAAGGTACCTACCGTGGACATCTGGGGGTACAGAAGAGAATTGTTTCTGCAAATAAATCTTATAATTAATGATACACCCCATCCTCTGATGTTCTGGAACGTCTCTCCAGGAGACCAAAATGCTCCCATCTTCCATAGTTACATTCACAATCTGAGGTCCCGTTAATGGAGCTACAAAGGAAATCTTTGTGAAAAAGTTGATCATCTTAGATCAGAGTTCCCCAACATTTCTGGCTTTGCAGGCTGGGAGGCGGGGGTGGGGGGAGGAGAGAGGGGATGGTTCCGTGTGAGTGGCTGGCAAGCACGCACATGCACTTGCAACTCCATTTGCATGAGTGGCATGAACGTGTGCCTCTGTCACTCACTTAAATGAAGAATGTGAGGATGCGCTTGCCGACTGTTTCCACGGTCCGGTTGCAAACCCTTCATGACCCACTAGTGGACCATGGCCCACAGGTTGGGGACCCCTGTCTTAGATGATCTCAGGCCTTAAACCAGATATTTAAACCAGATATTTTTACCTTTTGCTGAGGTATTTTCTGTGGTCGTAGCTGCTTTTCCTGCTCTGTCCTGATAGAGTGCAAACACACTGATGTGGTAGCATATGTTGGGCTTTAAATTCTCTGGAAATTAGAAAGTTCTCTTTCAGGCATAGCCAGGGGTGGGATTCAAATTTCTTAACAACCGGTTCTGTGGGCGTGGCCTAATTTGTGGGTGTGGCTCGGTGGTCATGTGACTGGGTAGGTGTGGTTTGCTGACTGTGTGGCTTGATAGGCACGTGACTAGGTAGGCATGGCTTGTATGTAAATATTGTAAATATTTAATTTTTTATTTAAAAAAAGAGCAACTTTTACCCAAAATCAGGCAAAGCAGGCAGGCAGATTGAGTTGCTCACAGAATCACACATTCACTAAGAGATCTATCTTTCTGCAATCTGCTACCTGAGTCTGCACTGAAAAATAGAAGCTTCCGTCCTAAGGAAGGTTCAGCTCTGCTTTTAGATTAGCTAGAAAGCAAGAAATCCAATGAGTTCCTGCTTTCTAGCTACACTAAATCTCCCAGCACAGCAGAACAGTTGATGGTTGGGGGAAAAAAAGAAAAATAGCAATTTAGCAGGTAAGTTTGATGGCACGCATGCCAGGTAAGGAATGAGTGGGTGGGGAAGGGCGGGGAGGGGCCAGCCAGTGGTGCAATTTGCCAGTTCTCCGAACTGGGCAGAATCATAACAACCAGTTCTATAGAACTGGTCCAACCAGGTAGAATCCCACCCCTGGGCATAGCTGACTGCAGTGTTTTGCAATTTTAAGAGGAGAGTGGTTTTCTTTTTTTCAATGCGATGTTTGCAAATCATCAATTGGTTGGTATAGAGTAGACATAGAGTCACCCTAAATTCTAGATTTAGATAGCCATATCTAATGGTGCTGCTGGAAGCTAACAAATTCTATTTTTTTCCCTTAGTTCGTTTCCACCCCTCAACTTTGGTAGCTTTAAGCTGTGCGGACTTCAACTTCCATAATTTCCCAGTCATTGCTTCTTGGTCCCCTATCCTAAAGACAGGGGTGGGATTCTACCAGTTCGCACCTATTCGCTAGAACTGGTTGTTAACATTCTGGTGTTGCTTACAGAAACTGCCTCTCCGTTAACCCTTATTACATTCTTGGCAGGACTAGACTTCCTGTCTCAGGAACGTCTCTGGAGTTTTCCCCCCCTCCTTTGCTGGTACTTTGCTTGTGTGGAGTGACCATTCAAAGTTACAATGGCACTGAAAAAAGTGACTTATGACCGTTTTTCACACTTACGACTGTTGCAGCATCCCCACAGTCATGAGGGGCCAGGCGAGGAGATGCATGACTCGATGTGGGTGATATTGAGTTGGCCACACCCAGCCAGTCACATGACCACCAAGCCACGCCCACCAACTAAGCCACACACACAGAACTGGTTGTTTAAAAAATTGAATCCCACCCCTGCCTAAAGACCACATGTTTAGGTACATTTTCTACATCTCAGATAAATTTAGGAAACATTTGGACTTGAGGGATAAAAGCGTATGCAGACTTGCTTCTGCTGGATTGATTATCAATAAGAAAATGCTATTTTGTTCATTAACAAAACTAAGCTCCTTTTTTTCTGAAGTTTGCAGAATGAAATTATATGATCAAACAGAAGCAACATGCATTCTTGTAAAATTATCCATCTGTAGACCAAAAGCCTTGGGAAAAGACTTTAGGACAGAGGTTGTAAATGCATCATTAAGTATGAAAAACAGTCATAAGTCTGTTTTTCACTGCTGTTGTAACTTCAGACAGTCAGTAAATGAATGATTGTAAATTGAGGATTGCCTGTAATCCATTCCAGCATATCATCTATTACATTGGGTCGGGTAAGGTTGTGCAACGCTGAACAGAGACTTAAATGTATGAATGCTTAAAAGCAGCACTCGTTTGCAATCGCCTGTCTAAACTTTCTCGTTAACAATATGTTTTCCTGCGATATGGGCTTACCTTTGATCACTGTGCAATTAGAAACAGGAATTTTAAACCATGTCGGGGAGGGGTTCCTGTGATAGTCTTGAGGGATCTCTACCCATTCAACTATGTATCCATTGATGGAAGAGGAAGGTGCTGAAGGTTCTTCCCATTTAACAATTATTCTCTCATTGTCCATGGATGTGGCGGAGACCCGGTTAGGTGGTAGCAGTTCTTTGAAGAGAAAAGAAACCCAATAGTTGTATTCAGCTCAACCGGAATGCAACTTCATCAGCCCTGGAGACATTTAAATTTAGAAATGGAAATAACACTCATAGAGATGTTAGTAAGATGGAATAAGATTTGGAACTCCACAATGGAACTATAAGTCATCAGTGATCTGTAACATTGAACTAAAGCAAGGGTCTTCAAACTTGGTAAGTTTAAGACTTGTGAACTTCAACTCCAAGAATTCCTGAGCTAACATGACTGGAAGAGGAATTCTGGGAGCTGAAGTCCACAAGTCTTAAAGCTGTCAAGTTTGAAGACCCCTGAACTAAAGTCATGCGACAAAAAAAAATCATTAATAGGTAATGCAAAAGAAAATTAAACTGAATAACCTTTATCTGTTGAGTTGGTACTATTGTATTACGTTATATGGTGAAGGAATCAAATTCATATTATTTATGGATCGAAGCAAAATCCATCCCTGGAATTCTTTCTGTGGCCAATAACGGAGGCCAATAACTAATATTCAATTAACTTAATGAGAAAAAAAAATGTACCTTACCTGAAATTCCCAATTTTGTGGTTATGTAGACAGACGGGGAGATTCCCCGTGAATTCTTCGAATTAAGTGTTATGTTATAATCTGCCTTAAGAGAGATGTGCGAGAAAACAGTGTGGGTGGTCACACTCATTTCTGCAGTTCTAGGTGGCATTTGGTTGAGGTTTAGAAATATCACTTGATAATGGAAGTTTCGGCTTATTGTTCCTGATACATTTACTGACTGTAAAAAAAAAGAGAACATTTTAGTGTGTTCTGCCATGCCCCAATACAGGACAATGGGACTAGAACCCGAGAGACATTGGGTTCAAAATTCACTCTGTCATGAAGATGTATCCTTCTCTGATTGATTTTTCTCTATGGCTGGCCAAAGAGGGGCTAAGGTAGAGAAGGGGACGAGTCTTCTGTAGCTTTCTAGCAGAGATGAAGAAGGTACTTTTTGACCCCATCTGTCAATTTGCACAGGAAAATGCAGCATTGATGGCTGCATTCTTTCACAACTATATTCTGAATTGCAGATACCTCCTTTTCCAAATCAGAATAAGATATGTACAGAAATGTTTACCTTCCAGAAGAGAGTGATGTTCTGCATTTTTGAAACGGTCTCCTTCTTTAAATACCAGACATCAACAGGTTCAAACGGCACTGGGAACCAAGAAAAATGGCCTTAGAATGTAATGTTTCTATCAATTTGGGAGCCAACTTTGCCAAGTGTTGGGCAGCTGGCAGGAAACAAATGGAAGAATGCCATGGATACTTGGCAATCAAGGGTTTACTCCTTCTAACAAAAGAAGTAATGATTTAGCTTTACCAACTAAGAAATTTCCCCAAAGTTACCAAAACTCAGATCATAGATAGAAATTCTTCGAAGTATGAGGTCAGCGGGTCTTCATCATTGATAGTACCTTTAAAAAGGGAGGGGCTAGGACAGTGGTGGCTAACCTTTTTGGGCTGCTGTGCTAAAAATTGCGCTCACGCTCGCGCATGCTCGCATGCCAGCACCCAGAAGGCAATGTGCATGGGCCTCACTCCCCCGCACATGCACACATGATTCCCCCCACCGCCACCCCCTTACCTGCACTGGGCCCGTTTTGTCACTTCCGATGTTTCCGGAAATACAGAAAGTGACGAAACAGGCCTGTTTTTTGGCCTCCAAAGGTTGCAGAGGCTTTCCTTGAGCCTCTGGGAGGCCGGAAAAGGCCTCAAACGGGATGAAAATCAGCTGGGAGGCATGCGCATGCGCAGTGAGGTAAATTTGGCTGGAGCTCACGTGCCCCACAAATGGCTCTGCGTGCCACCTGTGGCATGCCTGCCATGGGTTCACCATCACGGGGCTGGGAGATATCAACATCCCCTGCCACACAATTTATTTTCTATTTTTTCCAGATATCTGCAGGTAGTCCTCAACTAACAAGTTTGTTTAATGACCATATGAAGTTACAACAGCATTGAGGGGAAAGGGATTTATGACCGTTTTTCACACTTACGACCGTTGCAGCATCCTCATGGCCAAGTGATCAAAATTCAGATGTTTGGCAACTGATTCATATTTATGACAGTTATAGTGTCCCAGGTTCTTGTGATCACCTTTTGCAACCTTTGTTTCAAGCTAGGTCAATGGAGGAGCCAGATTCACTTAACAACTGTGTTACTAACTTAACTGCAGTGATTCACTGAACAACTGTGGTAAGAAAGGTCATAACATGGGGGCAAAGCTCACTTAACAGATGTCTCATTTAGCAACAGTAATTTTGGTTTGTGGTTGTAAGTCGAAGACTACTTGTATATTTATATCCCATCTGCAATAAGGGATACAGATAATCCTTGACTTACAACCACAATTGAACCCAGAATGTATGTTGCTAAGTGAGACATTTGTTAAGTGAGTTTTGCCCCATTTTATAACCTTTCTTGCCACAGTTGTTAAGTGAATCACTGCAGTTGATAAGTTAGTAACGCAGTTGTTAAGTGAATCTGGCTTCCCCATTGACTTTATGTTGTGGTTAGCCGGCAGCAGGTGTGGACAACAAAGGAGAGCGAGGACTCAGATGAGGGGCTAGGACCATTGGGGAGTGGACTGCTGCCTTCAGAGATTGTGGGGGATGGCAGCAGCGATGAGCAGGTTCCCGAGGAGCCTGTGCCAAGTACCCGTGCGTGCAGGGTTGCTCATAGGAAACAGCAGCTACAACAGCACGGGCAACTTGGGAGTAAGGCTGCAAGGCAATGGCCCCTCCTTCAAGAAGATAACAGGCAGCTGTGCAGCGAACATACTTTGTAGGAAGCAAATACGTTTTGAAACTCAGCTTTGTGGGCATTACAGTTGGTATTTGAAGACTTTTGTGTTGTAAACTGTTTCGTATCTGTTGTTTTTTGGCAGCCTTGCAAAAACTTGGCAAGGTTCTTTCTTGTCGGAGCTAATTAGTTAGAAGCAGCCTTTTATCTGTGAAGAAACAGGATTCGTAAATGAAACATTAAAAGGTTGTGCTGCTGCCTTTGTCTTGTGTTTGTTCTCTTGGAAGCAGGTTTGGTTCAGAACACTTTGCTTGTCAGAAGGTTGCAATAGGTGATCATATGACCCCCAGGACACGGCAGCAGTCGTAACTATGAACCAGTTGCCAAGCGCCTGAATTTTGATCACATGAGCCTGAGGATGCTACAAAGATCATAAGTGTGAAAAGCAGTCATAAGTCACTATTTTCAGTGCCGTTGTAATTTTGAATGGTTGCTGAATAAACTGTTGTAAATTGAGGACTACCTGTAATTGATCTTAGGTAGTCTCAGTCTCAGCTTAGGGTTAGAGAAGGAGCCATGCTGGATGAGACGCTGAAGTTGGTGCCATTCTAGCTAAACCATAAGCAGCATATATTTTTATACATATAAGCAAAGTTTCAACTTAAGCATTATCTTCATCTCCAAATATATCATTGAAGCCCAATAGGTCTCAGATTTAAAAAATGAGTGATCGCCAGGGTTTTGGCTGGAAATGTGTTTATTTGCCAATAAACAGAGACTTAAGATTAATTTGGAGGGATAGAAAATACCCACAAATGACTAGAGAGAATGGAGCAAAGTAACCGTCCTTATTTGTCCTAGAAAATGGAATTTGACTGCTATCGATCCCCACCATTTTGTGAATGAGCAAGTGCTTGTGGCAGCCATTTTGTGAGAGTGCTTGAGCATAGACTTCCCTCCCTCACTTAGTTTTTTAGGACATAAAAATATTTTTTTTCATTTCTCCCTAAGTTCCTGTGACATTATAGCCTGGCCTGAATTAATTATCCATGACTTATTTTTATATCAGACGTGTGGAGTTATTATTTTACTACCTGCTTCTGTTAGAAATGCTGGGCTCCAGTCGCTCCATAAACCCCTTTCCAGAAGAAGCCTGCAGGAAACTTGGAATTCGTATTTTATCTTTGGCTGCAGGTCATGAAGATCGTATCTTATAGCATTTAGATTTTCAAGCTAGCATGAAAAAAAGATGAAAGCACGCAGACACAACTTAATAAAAGCTGTCTTTCTCTGGTAATTGCAATTCCTCTGAGACACAAAAAAGCCCTATTTACACTCAACAGAACCCTGCAACAATCCTGTAAATGGTATAAGATGCCCCAGTTGGGCACTGCAGGAGAGACACAGGCTCTTCTAAATTAAATGCCAGACCTGGCATAAGCTTTCACATTTGTTCCTAATTACATGCTGGGACCAAAGCTTCGTTATTTTGTGAAAACAAATCTCCATCTTGTTTCTCCTCTGTACAGACGTGTGAGCCTGCTTTAAAGTTGTCTGTCACTAATGAACATTATCTATTAGGACCTCACTTATGAGACAAGGCAGAATTGCAAAACTATTTTTATCATTAGTTGGATTCAGACATTGCACTATATCAGTGGTGGCTAACCTTTTTGGGCTCCTGTGCCAAAAATTACGCTCGCGTGCCAGCACCCAGAAGGCAATGCACACGCCCCCCCTGCCCCCTGCGCATGCGCACATGATCCCCCCCACGCCACCCCCTTACCTGCATTGCGTGCCTCCCAGCTGATTTTCAGCCTCCCAGCGGCTCGAGGAAAGCCTCTGCAGCCTTTGGAGGCCGAAAAATGGGCCCGTTTTGTCACTTCCGGTATTTCCGGAAATACAGGAAGTGATGAAACAGGCTTGTTTTTCGGCCTCCAGAAGCTGCAGAGGCTTTCCTCAAGCCTCTGGGAGACCGTAAAAGGCTTCAAACGGGTCAAAAATCAGCTGGGAGGCATGCGCATATGCAGTGCAGGTCAGTTTGGCTGGGGCTCGCATGCCTGCACCAATGGCTCTGCATGCCACCTGTGGTACCCGTGCCATAGGTTCGCCATCACGGCACTATATCATGCCTTTCTTAACTGTCGTTATTTGAAGATGCCACATTGATTGGATCAACACATCATGCCAGCAGAGAGACATGGAAATTTTTGCAGCTTTGCTGGTGTTTTGGCTTCCAAGCACCATGAGGGGATGAGTCTAGCGATGCATTGATATCAGCAGTTGGACAGGCCTAATTTTTTTAAAAAATTTTTTTTCCAGGTTTGGGTGACTTTGTGGCTAGAGATGATTGCATTTTCCCTTGCAGCAGCTTAATGTATCTATTTTCGGGAATAGAATAGAATAGAATAGAATAGAATAGAATAGAATAGAATAGAATAGAATAGAATAAACAGAGTTGGAAGGGACCTTGGAGGTCTTCTAGTCCAACCCCTGCTTAGGCAGAAAACCCTATACCATTTCAGACAAATGGTTATCCAACCTCTTCTTTAAAACAACCAGTATTGGAGCATTCACAACTTCTGGAGGCAAGTTGTTCCACTGATTAATTGTTCTAAATGTCAGGAAACTACTTCTTAGTTCTAGGTTGCTTCTCTCCTTGATTAGTTTCTATCCATTGCTTATTGTCCTGCCCTCAGGTGCTTTGGAGAATAGCTGGACTCCCTCTTCTTTCCACCCTTATTTGAGTAGCGGGGGTAACCATACCATGTTTTGCCATCAAATTAGAAAGTATAATCTGGAAAGCTTCTGGAGACCAGAATATCAAGATTGGAACAAGTTTATAATATGCCTGAGAGTGTTGCTCATCTCTGTACTAATCTCCTTGTTTCTATATCCTGTACACAACTGCTCAATGAACAAAACATGTTAAGCCAAAACCCAACTATATTATAGCTTAGTAAGATGTATCCATTCACTCATGGTCAGTTGGAGAACCATTTGTTTTCTTTTGGTGCTGAGAAGCATTCTGGATGCTAAATGTTATCCATCTGTGCAAAGGAGTCAGAAGAGCAGATAGAGATCATGCTACTGATGTTGGTTAATAGGTATGCATTTGGAAGTATGTGTTAAATTAATGACAGGTTATGAATCCTGAATGAAAAATGAGATGAGTGCAGTATTAAACTCCCTGGCTGAGTAAGAACAAAAGGATGACTCAATATGTTACTATCAACCTTGCCTCTGGGGACATGATTTAGGTGGAAAGCACCAGAATAAAATCAACAATCTGCTCATATTACATCAGGATATATATTGCATAAAACATGCCATTGATTTCTTTTCTATTGGATGCTTACTATGTGACTGAAAACATTGACATTATATCTGTGTATCCCTAAGGCATCACATTAGTAATATAGAAAATAATGACTTACATAATCACAAAAACTAAAATATCCTTACTCTCTCTCTTTATTTGTACAGTTGCCCAAAGACTGTAATAAAGTAATTTCATTTCATTTCAACCTTCCTACCGTAATCCAGGAATTACTGTGGATTGGTTGGTATCTCACTCTAAAGCACTGTGTTTCTTGCTGATCTTGCCATAAGATGGTACAATTTTGGGGAGCAAAGGCATCACAGCTTACTGAGAGGTTCACAGGAGGGTGAGGCTTCACTGTGTTGTGATGATCAGTGATGCACCAACATGAACAAAAACACAACATTATTTTCTGGAAATAAAATTCTGAGCCATAATAATAACACCATAAGAATCCTCAAGACCAGACTATCTAATAATCCGATATCTTGTGACATGCAGTAACACGTTAGATGCTTCTGAGAAGGCCATAAGTGGGAGATGAGGACAATACAACCACCTACTTATCACCTTGAAAATTATATTCAGCTATTCACTTTCTATAATCATGGGAGGGTCACATATTCCCATTGCTTTTTATAATCGTTTATCTATTTTCATCTCTCTCTCTGTTACAACTTTACCGCTGGTTCTCAATTTACAAACATTCATTTAGCAACTGTTCAAAGTTACAACAGCACTGGAAAAAATAAGTGACTTACAACTGGATCTTGCACTTAATGGCCATCGCAGCATCCACCCAAGTCATATGATCAAAATTTGGGCGACTGACAACCAGCATGCATTTTACAATGGTTGCAGCATCCTGGGATCATGTGATCATCATTTGTGACCTTCCCAGATGGCTTCTGACAAGCAAACTCAAGGGGGGGGGAGCCAGATTCACTTAACGACCAGCTGATTCACTTAAACAACTGGAGTGATTTGCTTAACAACAGTGGCAAAAAAATGTTGTAAAATTGGGCATGACTCACTTAACATATCTTGCTTAGCAAGAACAGATATTCGGTTTCCAATTGTGGTCATTAAGTCAAGGGGTACCTTTACAACTTCGCAAACAATTCATACCTACTTGATATTGTTTGTTGTCAAGGGGCATGCATTTGGAAAGCTGAGTCCAAAAATTCCAAAAGTAGTCAGGTTGAAAAGCACATAGATTTATACTTTCTTGTTGTTTAAAGATCAGTAGCATAAACCTGACTTTCTAGTAGATTTATCCCACCCGAGGAACTCAAAATAAGACTCATGAAGGGATTTTCCCTTCATTTGATCCCGATTAACATTACCATGTAAGATAGGTTGGGCTAAGAGATAATGAATAAAACAATGTCATACAGAAAGCTGCATGTCCAGGAGGAGTTGAACTTAGATCCTTTCTGACTATTTAGCCCCTATATCACAATGGGCCTCCTGGGGTCTGTATTCTGTGTGCAACGCTTGCAGGCATTTCTACATCACTTTGGTTTAAACCAGCGGTCGCCAACCGGTGAGCCGCAGACCACTGGTGGGCCTTGAGAAAATTTTGGTGGGCCACAGAGAAATCTCACCCCCAGAGCACCCCCCAAAGCAATTAATCCAGGCTGCGCAGAAACACAAGGCTCCGCTGCCCACATGGCCCACGGGAACCCTCCCCGCCCACTCCAGCAAACTTGCCTGCTAAAATTGCTATTTTTCCTTTTTCCGACCATCATCTGTTCTGCTGTGCTGGGAGATTTAGATTAGATTAGGAAGCAGGAAATGGTTGGATTTCTTGCTTTCTAGCTAGTCTTTAGATCTTCGGCTCTGCTTCCCTTAGGACTGAAGGTTTGCTTGCAAGTAAATTCAGTGCAGACTCACAGCAAGCAAATTTGAGAGACTGAGCTAGCCGATGGCAGATAGATCACTGAATGGATTCTGTGAGCAACTCAATCTGCCTGCTTTGCCTGATTTTGGGTAAAAATTGCTTTTTTAATAAAAAATTCAATATTTACATACATGGAGTGTTGTGAGTTAATTTTATGAGTTTGCTTGCAAGCAAATTTTATATGACAGACTGAACTAGCCAATGGCAGATAGATAGATCTCTGAATGAATCTGTGATTCTGTGAGTAACTCAATCTGCCTGCCTGCTTTGCCTGATTTTGGGAAAAAGTTGCTCTTTTTTATAAAAAAATTCAATATTTATATAAATATTTATAATATTTACATACAAGTCATGCCCAACCAGTCACATGACCACCAAGCCACACCCAAAAATTAGGCCACGCCCACAGAACCGGTTAGTGGTCCCTGGGATCTAAAATTATGAGTTTGGTGGTTCCTGAGGTCCAAAAGATTGGTGACCCCTGGTTTAAACATCATCAAAAGGGCCACCTCCAAAGGCAATTTGCCAAGGATTGCAAAATACTATTTAGCAAAGGCAGCAAAAAGACTTTTGATACAAGAGTTGTTCGATTTAGTTGAGCTGACCGATTAATTAGAAATTGAATCATTACTCAAAACATTTTTTCCAATAATTTATCAGAGTTCCTGATAATTACCAATGTCTATTAATGTGAACTGTATTGGTTCAGATGAACTGCTCCCAAGTTTATTTGTGGCTTCGACCACAACTGTATAAGTAGTTTCAAAGTCCAGCTTTTTCCCGAGATGAACTATAGTGCTATTTTTTTCTCCCAAGACTGTTCTATTGGAGGTTTCATTTGTTATCCTGCAACAAAAAAAGAAACTGAGATGAACAGTGTGAATGATCTTCCTTCCTCCTCCCTCTCCCCCCTTCCCTTTCCCCTTCCCTTTTCCTTTCCCCTTCCACTTCCCACTCTCCTTCCTTCCATCCTTTCCTTCCTTCCTTCTTCCTTTCCTAGATTAATTTTATACCTATATAAAATTGTATGACAGTCACATAAATTATATTACCACCTAAATATTCAGTTCATAAATAAAGACTTGTTTTTTTTGAAGATGACTTGAATCCGACACTTTTTATTATAATATCCAGTTTAATCGTTTGCTCTAATATTTCAGTTAGTTTAATTTGGTTGATTTCAATTACCCTAATATTCAGTTTAGTCTTCCCAGTGATTACTCAAAACCTGTGCAATATTTTGAATTACCCTAATAATGGGAGCAAATCCTCAAAAAAGGCTTGCAGAGCAAACGTGGATTTCAGGGTATTTAAGCCCTAATGGCTGACAACCATGGCCAATATTTTGATCAAAGCTAGCTCAAATTCCACTCATTTCATCCCTGGTGGTGCATAAGAAAATGGAAACAAAGATGAAGTGATGAAGCAGAATTGGCCAGAGGTAAACTTAATTATAAAGGGAGACAGAACTTACCATAGTGTATAGGAAGTCAACAGATAGGTATAATATCCTTTATCCCAAGAACAAATGGTGGGTCCATATTTTCCATACTGGGCACATGATACATTTTTTGGTTGATCTGGTGCAACTTAAAAAAAGAAAAATAGTCAACAGCTGAGATGGAAAGAAATGACTCTCAGTTTGAATCTTTGTTCTTTATAAAAAAATTGTTGTGTAAGAGTTTGTGTTTGCATTTGAACTTTCCAGTATACAGTGAATCTGTGTATCAAAACCTCTTTGAAGAAAGGCCTGCCATGTGTCCAGTAATAATATTGTCATGCCCCTGGTGGAGACTGACTCTGAGGGAGAGAACAGCCGACAGGGAGTGGAAGTGTGGCTTGTAGGAATGCAAAGGTTGGCTGAGTAGTCAGAAGAGGACTCAGGCCCATCCCCTCTCCATCTTAGGACACGCAGGGAGGAACGGATAAGGGAGACACGTGGGGGAGGAGATGGCCTTGATCCTCTTCATGGGTTGCAGCTGTGACAACTGAATAAAAGGATGGACATGCGTATGGGCGAATGCTGGAAACAAGGCATGGAAATATCTCTAGTTTATGGTTCCTCTCTGAGTTTGGTGTCCTTCCCAGTGTGTGTTCTGTTCTTTGTGGACGTCCTCCAGCCCTTAACTTGCCTGGTTTGTGTTGTTTTTCCCCCTCCTTCTTGTAACTGCTTGTGTGGGAGTTTTTTTGTCTTCCATCAAGGATATTTGGAGCTTGGAAGCAAAGTGAAGGAATAAAAGGGGCTTCACCGGGTTTTTGTGACTCTGTTTATTTTGTATCCCCCCTCCCCGGTCATCAAGACCTTTATCTTATTTTCCCCATTAATTTGGAAGAGATAATATTGTCCAAAAAATAGCTTGGTTTTGTGGTAATTTTCTTATATGGATCTGATGAGGGGAAGTGGGTTCCTGGACATTGCAACAAAGCAGTGGTGGTAACTGCTGCTAAACATATATATGTTCATATATGACTCTTGTTCTTTTCACAGCAGCCCTATTTTTGCTAAATAATCCAACTAAAGTCAAACACTTTATAGCATAAATGTAGAAAAATGAAAATCTGTATCTTATTTTCCTAGGTGAAGCCTTGGTGGGAGTTACTAATCTCAAAAAGAAAATAGGAACCAGCAGTGAGATGAACAAGAGTTATTGAAAAAAAATCAGAGGAAGAGATAACAGCACATTCCTCTCTTCAAAATTGTGAGTGATTATAACATATAAGCATTTTTATGAGGCTTGGGCGAAGGCAATAATTATTTTTTTTATCCGATGGACATATTGAACAAAGCACCCATCTCACGAAAGGCAAAACATGCCTTTCCTCGGTTATTTCTATTATTCTAATATTAATTTTCTCCAATTAATTAATCCCACCTAAAGACTCTATCTCATTACATCTCATTGACTACATAAAACCCTACATTCAGAACAGAACAATGTTTTCAAAAGTAAACAACCCCCCTTCCCGTTTTCTTCTGTGCAGTTAACCAAAGTTTTAAAAAAGCTTCTTACTTCCAACAAAAACATAAATTCCGCATATGTTCAGTGGCCTCGGCTGTTTGCAACGGCATTCAAACATCTGCCTCCCAAAAGTATTCAATAGAACCTGGGTCCTGATTGAAGAATCTGGAGAGCTGCTGCTACTGATAATGGAGTGGTTTTGTGACAAGACAATGACACAATGCCTACGGTAGGAGCTCTTGTTTAGCCAGCAGGACAGATCCACCGTTGATTTTAATGACAGCTCTGTGCCATTTGCATGCATGTGTCCCCTGGAAAGCAGGATAGAATTCAACAAGGAGGACAGTTAAGGTGCAGGATTCTTTTTTTGTCTTCTTATTTTTCTCTTTTATGATTGTTGCATTTATTGGTTTTGCTTTTGGGAGATGCCTGGAGTTGGGTCTATATAAAATGGGAGCCATATAAATATTTTAATAAATGAATATTAACTTCTTGCAACAGAAATAAACTAGGTTTGGAACACCATATGTTTTGCCCTGTGCCAGTAAAAATACTTGTGTAGATTCCCCCAACATGGCAAAACAAACAGCTCGTAACATCTACAGAAGGAGTAAAAAAAGAAAAAATCACAACTGCAGCTGCAACTCTATAGTCAACAGCCCATGGCTCCCATTTATGGCCTTGGCTCCCATAAATGCTCACCTTTACTCTTATTCAAAATTTCTTGATCCTGGAGGCTACATTCAAAGTCTATCATTAGAGTAAAGTTGCTATATCATCTTTTCCAGCTGGTGTCCTCCCAAAAAATGTCTTTTAAAGTCTTTTTAAGGGCCCCAATTATTCTCTGGCCCCCAATTGAACAGCCCCTCTTATCAAATATAGTTTAGATTTTGAAACACCACACAGATACTTTAGGTCCCACCATCTGATTTCATGGGTTACCCATTTGGAGAACATAATATTGTTAGAAGCTGCAGGTAAAAGGCAGCAGACAGAAGGAAGGTAATATTCTGCTCTCAAGTTTCTCTGAATCATTTAAAGGCCCTTGTTGGGGTTTGGTGCCCATTGTGCTGAGTGACCTGTATCGATTGGGGATTACCGGAGTGAAATATATGGCACAAGGAGCACCTGATTGAAGAAAGCTGCTTCAAAGTTGAAGCCTTCTCTTTTTTAACCTTCTACAAAAATCAAATACCAATTTTCTCTCTACTTTTGTCTTGGCCGGTTAGCCGTTAAAATATTGTTGGACAAACTAAGGAATCTCTTATCATTGCCCTGCCACCTTCAGACTATCTCCTAGGCAACTTTCCAGTATTTTCTAAAGCACCTGTAGGCTAGACAAGGAATAATGGTTGTTCAAAGGAGAGATTTAACCTGGAAATAAGGAGAAACTTTGTGACAGTGAGAACAATCAACCAGTGGAACAGCTTGCCCTCGGAAGTTGTGGGAGCGCCATCACTTGAGACTTTCAAGAAGAGATTGGACTGCCATTTGTCAGAAATGGTGTAGGGTCTCCTGCTTGTGCGGGGGGTTGGACTAAATGACCTACAAGGTCCCTTCCAACTCTGATTATCTGTTATCTGTTTACGCAAGCAGTGAAAGAAGACAAAATAGTGAGTTCACTTGCCTATGAGCTGTCACTTCCTGGGTGTTCTCTTCTATAGCTACTGAAGGGAAATCACATGTGCTTCTCTGAAATGATTATACAGGTGAATAAGTTACACCATGAGATAGTGGGCTGTGGGCACTGAGAGAGAGAGATGGAGCTGTAGAGGAAGGAAGGGCTCTGCCAAACTCTAATGCTGTCATCTCTACCCATTCTTATCTCTGCTTCCTCCCACTTTTAACTTAGAAATAGATTTGGAGTTGATAGATCATTATATAGAGAGCTTTTAGGGAAAGGTTTTCATGTAAATGGTTTAGTTTGAATTTGGACTTGCCTGTATAATTCACGCTGTTGTATGTTGTGTACCAAAAATAGCAGAACCTTTGCGTGCCGCATCACAGCTTTTACATGTCACACAAGTAGGGCCTGTTGAATACCCCTCTAGAGGGTTTGCTAGAACACCCAAGCATTACCAGAAAGGAGATAGGACAAGCAGAGAAAAGAAAAAAGCAAAAAAGCAAAAGCATGTTTATAGGGCCTATCCTGATTCTTTACTAGACACAACTAGAGTACAAATCCTTGGAATGGAACAAGGTTTCAACTCTGAAAAAAAAATGCAAGAAGCTTATTTTTCCAATAGCCCTTTGTCAACAAAAGAGTGCGCATTTGCCTCAGTAGATGTCACAACCAACTATAGAACTATCATAAAAGGAATTCTGCAGGGTGGCTATTTTTAGTTAATAATTTCAGCCACCTTAAAAACCTAATGGGCAGGAAGATTATATATATATATATATATATATTAGATTTTTAAAAATTGTTTCTATTGTTTCAAAACATTTTATAGTTTTAACTGTAGCGTATCTTTTGAATTATAAGCTGCCCAGAGACATTGATTGAGATGGACAGCTGTAGAAATTGAATAAATAAAAATAAAATGAAATTTTTATTATTATTTTCTTTTCAAGAAAAAAAATGCTACTCAACCATTGACTCTTGCATTCTTCTGATAGCAAACCCTTTACTCCTAGAATGAAAAAAACACAAAGATGTTTCATAATAAACAATTTCAAAACCTAAGTAATTATAAAAGTAAAGAAGTGTTGTTTATAAAGATTTCATTTACAAGAGGAAATTATGGGATTTGCTGACTTGTTTGGCAGCATTGGAAGCTTAATGAATTTTTTTCAAAGTTGAATAGACTATGGATTTAGACCTCCCATAGTCAAGAAATGAAGGTGCAGATACTCTTCACACAAACATAGATCTTTCTCCAAATTTGCTGTTCAGACTTTTTAGTAACTCTACTGCTGATTGTACATTGTCTACTTCAAATCTACATTACCCATTGTTTGTATCCCCAAGTTCTAATCCCAGGCATTTCTTTATTTAAAGTAATGAGGATATGGTCAGTACCTCTATAGCTTGGATGGAGCCATTTGTTCATATATGACCCTTCCCACTTGGCAGAAGACTTGTGATGTTTTATGATAGGATAGGAATATTTTTCCTCCTGTGACTCTTCTAGATTATTGGCCTTACTGAAGATAGGTAGGCTAAAAAAGTCCCGGATTTCCAGAATTCACTCACCTGCTCCCAAGAATACTAAAAAACACATTTTTAAAGGTAAGCTTCTTAGGTCGATCATCTTGATATTTTCTGCTGAATTTTTACTCCTGCTTTTTTTTTCAGTAGTCAGAAAACAATCCTTTAAGGAGGAAGACACTTTCGTATTTTTAGCGCAGGACTGAAAAGTTGGCTTTTTCTAGAAACAATCATACTCCATGGGAATGATGAAGCGTGGATATTCTTTGAGAAGCAGATGCTTGTGCCGAGAAACCAAATGGTTTGGATCCAAAGTTTGTTTTTTTTCTTTCAGAGTGTTGCCTTTCCGAAAATGTATTTTCTTTGCTGCTTCTCTGTCTGTCCACCCACTCCCCAGTTCAGGAACAATACTTGATGATTTATGTGACTCATGAAATATATTTCTTGGGTTTCTTTTTCTTCAACGATGAACAATATTTCCCAAGGTTTGTTTCTAAGGTTCATGAAGACTGAAATGAAACAGAGAGGAGAGTTAGATGAGAAGCCTTATGAGGTATTTACTTTGAAAGGCTATGTGGAAAATAGGAGTTGTAACCAGATAGAAAAGTGTTCTCTCTAATATTTAACCCCGTGATCGAACTCTAAAGCAATCCTTGGCAACTTTAAGACACATGGACTTCAACTACCAAGAATTATTGCTAGTTGCATGCTGGCTAGGGAATTCTGGGAGTTGAAGTCCACAAGTTTTAAAGTTGCCAAGGTTGGACATCCCTTCTCTAGAGCAGGGGTCCCCAACCACCGGTCCGTGGAACAAGTCTTACCGGGCCGCTGGTTGCCGCCATCTTTTTTTGGTAAAAAAGTGCTTCCGGTGAGCTTTTCCGGGTAGAAAGCTCACCGGAAGCACTTTTTCGTCAAAAAAAGATGGCGGCGCCCAGTTGATGCCGGTACCGGGCCGCGGCGCCCAGCTGATGCCGGTACCGGGCCGCGGCATCAAAAAGGTTGGGGATCACTGCTCTAGAGCAAAGATGGGCAACCAAGGGCCCGGAAGCCCAGTTACTCCCTAAAATCCCTTAAAAAAAAAAAAAAAGCCCCTACAAGAGCCATATTATTGAAAATTGTCTAGTTTCCTGCCAGTAGGAGGCAAGAAATATATATATATATATATATATATATATAGTATGTGTATGTATATATCGTCTAAGCTAGAAAATCTCAGTCCCAAACGGATGTGATGTGAACCCTAATCTTTTTTAAAATCACTGCCCTGTTCACCAAAGACTGTGTCCCCACCCAAGAAACAACTTGCTTATGTCTGCCTAGTTTCTTAATATTGGAAGGTGTCAGTGGTTGCCACCGATAATAGTTTGTGGATGCCATCGATAAATCATAGGTGGGGCTTATCTATTTTTAAAATTATTACATGAGGTTCATCTTCAGAAGTTGGAGGAAATTTTAATTATTTAATGATTTATAAAATATAACTGAAGAGAAATGGGGGGGGGATTAATTATGGAAAGCTTATAAGTGTTCCCAAGGAAGTATAATATTTAATTGAAAAGAAATGTTAATGATGATTTTAATGAATATTAATGATAGAACTGAATTGGAATGGAATGAGTGTTTTAATTTCATATATTTATAATCTTTTTTTAAGAATATAATGTGTATTTTAAGAATGTACCAAGCAGAATTCGATTGGAAGTTATGTATTATATTGAATGTTATAACCTTAAGGTATACATTGAAGCTTAAATAAGAGTTGAATGGACAAAATTAAAAGATATAAAGGTGTCATACTCCAATTAGTAACTACAGGAGAAAATTTGTTTAATGAGAAAAGATAATATGAAATAGAAACAGGACAAAAGTATAAATATAATGATTTGAATTGAGATGAGATAATCAAAATAAAATTGAGAAAATTAAAAGAGGGGAAAAACTATGTAGAAAATGTAAAACAGCAATAAGATATGGAATAGAACACAAAAATGAACATGAAATTGAGTTTGTATCTGTATGAAGAAGTGTAATCTGGGACCATGCTATTTTCAAAAAAAGATGTTTTATTTGTATTATTTTTGGTTTTTTTTGGTGAAAACCCAAATAAAACTTTCAAAAAAAAAGAAGAAGAAGAAGTTGGAGTGGGAAACCGAGCCAGGTTATAATCTGGTGGTTCAGCTTGGCTTGACACATCTGCTGTACTTTCTTAGTCACAAACAATTTAGATTACTTGTATAAACAAATCATAGATATGGGGAGGGGTTTAAATGGGCAAGGATTTGCTTTCATTGACAAGAAATACATCTGAAGGGCTCACATTTTGTCATTCTTTCACCACCATACAGTGGATATAAAAAGTCTGTATGCTCCTGTTAAAATGCCAGGGTGTTGTTTTTTTTAGGATGCCAAGATCAAGATAAATCACTTCCGAATTTCCCCCTCACCTCTACTATAACCTCTAAGACATACAACTCAATTGAAAAACAAACTGAATTGGGGAGAAAAGTAACAATAAAAAAAACATACAGTAGCAGGCAATAACTCGAACTACAGTGAAAATTGGACAACTTAATGGAAGGATCTTTGCTTGGGTACTATCTTCCACATGGAATATGGAAAACTTGGACAAGACTGAGAACAGAGGTATCACGATAAAAGAAGAACTTGAAGATATGGACAATATCACAGGAGATGGAAGTTGTGGATGTGGGAATTTGCAGAGCCCTGAACATTTATTTATTGATATGCCATAATCTTGATGGACCATGTACAGTGGATGATTTGTTCCTGGTGAATGATAAAGCTACTCAGACTGCTACTTTCTGGGCCTTCAATGCTATGTAATGTCACATAAATGTTTTAAATCCCTTCGGTGCTAACAAAAAATGCACAGAAATGTTTGTGTATGAACTGTAAACAACTTAGTCAATATGGAAACATGCAGCGTAACATTAAAATAAGTACAAGATAGATATCTATATTGTCTAGGTAGATCATTCCTTTTAAGTGGCAAAGTATGTTATCTGTGAAACCATTTCCCTTGTCATCTTTTGGAAGGAGTAAGTGACTATCTGATGAATATCTGACTTCCTCAGATCATTTCCCAAGTATGACAACACAGAACAACAAAACGCTATTTCAGTTTTTTTCTCTGTCAAAGGAGTAGACTCGATGGATGATCAGTTCAGTACCTTAAGAAGAAAACTTGTCTCTTTACAAAAATTATTTTCCATGCGGTATAGCAGTTAACAGAGAGGAAATAAACACAGCTACCTATGGCAGCGTGCAGTTGTATACACACACACCAATTTTGGGGGATTTCTAATATGCTTATAAGTCAGAATAAACTTAACATATGTAAGCCACGAAGATTCACCTTCAGGCAAGATGAGCACCATTGTTCAATTGTCCAAACCAGATACTTTATTTTGGTTATGTAACTGATTCCGTTTATGTTTACACTATTGGTTTTAGTATTCATAGATTCTATGATTCTTTCATGTTGTTCCAGCTAATTTGTACTATCTGATCTTCTAGCAGTTGTACAAGGACATTTGGAATTATACTTTCATAGTTTGTTGTGCTTGTTAAATTTACCAAGGGAAGCAATCCTAAATTATATGCTCCCATGTTCTTTTTTTAAATTAGTTTCCCTGTTTATCATAGAATCATAGATTTGAAAGGGGACATTTATAATCATCAGCCTGGTGCAGAAATTCAAATTAAAGCATCCCAGATAGATGCTCCCCAGGGTCTGCTTGAATAAAACCAAAGAAGATGAGTCCATCACCATCCAAGAGACAACTAAGAGATCCTACTGTCCTTAAATGATGTAGCGAGACAGAAATATGTTGGAAAGATACCTTTTTGCATGAAGTCTACTATAATGTTGAAATAAAAATGTTGGAAAGAATTGGAGGACAATCAAGTCCAACCTTCCTGCACAATGCAGAGTCCCCTATCCACGGTACCAATCAACAGGCAACTATCCAGCTTGTCTTGAAGACTTTCAGTAAAGGAGAATTGACAATATCATGGTAACAGCCAGTTGCACTGGTCGTCAGCTCATAAAGTCAGGAAATTCCTCCCGATACATACTGATGTAATGATAAGTATCCTGCAGTAGGAATGGCTTTGAGAAATGGGGAAAAATGAGATAAAGCAGGAGAGGGATGAGCTGGCAACTGCATAATGGGCAGAGAAAGAAACTTAGAAAGGATTTATCTTACCAGACTATATAAAAAGAGGCAGTAGGTGATTTGTACTTTCAAACTTGCAAAATTCTGTTCATGTAGCCTTACACTAAAATAGAATTAGCTTATTTGATTTGTCTCCTGTTTGATCAACCCGGGAAGGCTGACCACTTAGCAGGTAGCTTTAATCCACTTGTCCTCCTCGTCTGGCACAACAGAGAACCAATCTGCTAACTCTCCTGTGTGACAGCCTTTCAGAAATTTGGAGGCTGCTACCCAATCATCTCTTACATGGGATAAGTATACATTTAACCATTTTTACACAGCTTGGTTTCCAGTCTTCTCATCACGTTGGTAGCTATTCTCCAATGTGCTTCACTTTTTCTTTGACTTTTTAGAACTGTGAGGCCCAAAATTGGAGACAGTATTCCAAATAATCCCCAAACTGCAGGGCAGAGTGGAATAGAACAATTCCTCCTCATGATCTGGACTCTACATTCCTGTTAATGCACCTCAACATAGCGTTCACCTTTTTAGTAGCTATATCCCACTGCTCACTTATATTTAATTTGATACCCAGATTCCTTTCACATGTACGATTGCTAAGGTAGGTCTCCCCCATCTTATCTTTGTCCCTTTCAGTTTTTTCCCCTCACACCCAGATGTACAATTGCTCATATCTCCTTGTTTAATTCCATCCTATTCATTTCAGTCCTTTTTGCTGAAGCCTGTCCAGGTATTTTCAATTTTTTTTAAAAAAAAAAAAATCTCTTCTAACTTGTCCCTTTCAGCTTTGAATCATCTGAAACTTGATAAGCATCACATCAGGTGCCTAACCCAGGTCTCTGATTTAAAAATACCACCATCTCTCCATGCTGAAGCCCAAACACAAACTTTTGGTCTTTTGCGCAACTCTGAGTCTATCTAGCATTGCTTAGCCCATATTTTATATTTTATTATTTTATTTAAAGGAATAAAATGAAGTCTTATGATAAAAGTTTTGCTAGCTAAGTCTATCAAGAAAGGAGTATTGCAGCATATTGAATGTATACTGCGCGAGTCAAAAAGAGGGCTGCGAAAATATTTACAGACCCCTCACATCCTGGACATAAACTGCTTCAACTCCTACCCTCAAAACGACGCTACAGAGCACTGCACACCAGAACAACTAGACACAAGGAC